TTAAAGCTCAGACTTTGTTTGTGAAACAGTTGCTTGTTTGGCAATTTCTAAGTATGTTGTAGAAAACATAAAATATACTGATCATTCAAATGAAGCTTAGAACAGCTCAAATCCATTGTTTTGTTTAAAAGTCCCACACACATAAACTGTATCAACTGCTAGCATCGTTTGTTAGCATCTTTGGCTAATGCTAATGGAGTTCAGTCAGTGCTGTGGTCACAAGTTCTGAGTTGATATGTCCCGCACAATATGGACATGTTGTTTCAGTGTTTTTACAGCATGAGGAGTACCATTTGAATTATTTGTTTATCTACCGCACAGAACAAAAATAAATGTGACTGGTAATTGGAACTATTGCAGCTGGTATGAGAATCTTTCTGATAATGTCTGAGAAACTCTTAAGTTGCAGAGACCACAGCAGCTTTGCACAACATATCCAAGATGGCCATTGCCGCATTTAGTTTTCGATTGTCTGTAACAGATTATGTCAAGTCAACTCTACTCACTGTGAGAAATACTGTGCACATTTTACACACAGTCAAACACATCATTCTGTAATATAGTACAGGACTTTTTTTCACTCAGTCCTGATTCCATCCATCCATCCATTTTTTTCCCCTTAATCCATTTCTGGGTCGGGGGGGTAGCAGTCAGAGCTGCACCCAGTACACAGAGCACCAGCCCCTCACTGATCCTCCTGCAGGTGGTGAGTCCACAGGAGCTGAGATCTTTCAGTTGGGGCTTTGGGCAAAGTAGGGTTAAGTGTCTTGCCCAAGGACACAACGACAGCAGTCATCAGTGCGAGTCGTGAAGTAGGTCTTACGGTGGGCTCGAACCCACGACCTTCAGGCCCAAAGGCCAATGCTCTAATGATTGACCATAATCCTGATTATCAATTATAATTCATGAGTAAATCAAGAAATAAGAGTCATAATTTTGCACACACCTCTCCCTCCTCCTCATTTGCATGCCACGCCTGCTCTCTGACGAGCTTGGCCCCTGCACAGAGATGCTGGTTGTTTAGGACCCTTCTACATTTACAAACTCCACACACAGCATTCATGGTCACTTCCAGGGTTGCTTTCAGATTTTTATAGAGCAACAAGTGAACCAAACTTGTGAACCAAACCCCCCCAAATGTTTTATGAATGAGCGCTAATTAGTACAAAATAGCCCTCTTGACCAAACCCAATTCTTTGGTCAATAGTAGCCCACTGTTACTATAAAACAGCAATGTGGGAAACCTTTTCAGCCGTTTCCGTCGTTGAGCCCCATTTCCATTGATGTTAAAGAGTTTGTGTTACAGTCATTGGAGAGACAGGGCCAAAGGAGGCCGACCTGAACAGGGAGTTGGTGTGTGCGGAGCTTGGCTAATGTAGCATTGATCACCTGCTGTGTGTCTGCAAGGCCTATTTGTCTGACTGGACCGTTTTCCATTAGCACAAGACACGCACCATGGCGCTACCTGGTTAGCTTTGTCTCGCAGACAGGCTTTAGTCTGAAATGCTCCCCACTTCCATTAAACGAATCAGTCATTTTTAATCACGTGCGTTTTAATGCCAAACCTAAATACACATAATTTGCTTGAAAGATTTGAATGATTGAGAAATATGTCATACTCCAGCGAAGCAATAGCATCTACATTTTTTTATTTTATCTTTACAACTGAAGGATTTTACCGTTACTATTTTGAATGCACTGTGGCTATTTATGATTTTAATCTTGTGTTTGATTTCTAACCTTTTAAGGGTTTTAATTACTTGTATCATTGTATTCTCTGTTTTTAATATTTCTTGTGATATGGGTTGCGAGGCGCTTTGTGTTGCCTTGTGTAGGAAAGGTGCTCTACAAATAAAATTGATTGATTCATTCTATCCCTTTTTGGCAGAGGAACTTAAAATAACGAAAAAAGTCCTTAAGCTGTCTGTCAGTCAAAGCTGACATTCTTCCATTACGACAACGCTCAAATGGTTGGCATGTAATGTGAACAACCGACCCCCATCTCTCACACAATTCTTCTTGTTTACTGTTATTCCCTGCCCTCCTGCAGACTTGTTTTCCTCTGCTCTTGAACACACTCCTGGGCCTACTGTAAGAGTAGCAGGTAGATGTGCAGCGTCTGGTCTGTATTTGTTTGGGGCGAGGCTTCTAATCTGATGAATGAGCAGCAGAGATAGAGCCATTCGTCTGACACTTTGGGGAGACCAGAGAGGAGCAGGTGAGAGATGGAGAGGAATCAATCTCACTGTCTCACAATCCTGTTGTCTTATGGTTGTCCTGATGCTCATTTCGGGTTTGCTCTCAACAGCCCTTCTCCACAGGCTGTAATAAATGAGTTTATACTTTTATAGCTATTTATCCTGTTTGGAGGCTATGTGCAAAGCTATTCTCTGTTGGAAAGGTTTATTTGGAATGTGAAATAAAAGACGTTTATATCCAACAAACCATTTTATATTGATTGGTTTTAGGCATAGATAGTCTTGTAGAAAGCCTTATAATACAGCTACACAGCTTGAGATCATTGATCATTCAGGTCCAGTCTCCTGGCTCGCTGCAGGGAGGGTCAAAAAGCTCTGTCAGAAACATGCCTCAAAGTGTGTCCCCTGTCAAAACTACACTACCCAGAATGCCCTACTCACAGCAGGCCAGAGAAAACACAGTGACCCTGCCTGGTGCTGATTAATGAGGCTGAGCCAGGAAGGCATGCCTGGGACTTAGGAACGAAATAATGTGTTCAAGTACAGCAGTCACTTGACAATATTACTCAAGCTGTCCTCCTCCACAGCAGTCCGATCAATGTGTGTCCCAAAAATCTCATATTTGTGTGTTTACCAAATCAAACATTCCTTATCGATGCATTTCACATTTTTATTTCACATTGCTTGTCTACTACTAACCAAAGCTATTTTTTTGTTTTATTCGTTTTTATACTATTTTTTTTCTCAAGTTTTATCCCTACACATTTCTCAAAAGGGAGGAAAAAAAATACAATAATATAAAATAACCAAAGCCAAGGCACTTTGTTTATCTTTATGAAGACAAACAAAGTTATTTTTTTCTTTAACCAAAAAGAACATTCATGATTAGACAGTGTCATCAAAAACAACCTGTCTTTTGTTTGTTAGAAAGAATCCTGCATCCGTTTGATCTATTTAATTTCCTGCGTCACTTTACCCCCTGCGTGGTCTTGGTAAAATGAGCAGAAGTCCTCCCCCTGATCCCAGAGCAGATTATCTACAGATTATCTTGGATTTGACCCAAAATCTGTGGATTAGGAGGCTGCTGATAGGAGTCATAGTGGGTTTAGTCTTATTTCTCCACAGACTCATGTACAAACCCGATTAGAGTAACTTGATCACAGAGTTTGGAGAAACATGGCATCAGGAGATGTTTGGATTTACTACTTTTCTTCAAGAGCCGCCAATTTCACATATACAATCATGTCCATACTGGAAACAATTCTAATACCGCTTAGCACAGTACACAAACACTATGTATTTTTCCAATAAAACACAAAACATGTTAATTTTAAGTTAAATTTACATCTAATATTTACATACAAATTGAGTGAAGGGAGTTGTTTTTATGAGCACCTCCCAATTTTGGAGGGCTAAAATGTATTGTGAAATATGAGCCAAAAATAGTGGGATCATGTCCATGTTGTGTCCGTATATAGAAACTAGTAATATACGACTCTTAACTCTTTGGCATATTGTGGTGCTATAAACCTGCATTGACTCTAATATTGAATCCAATTATATTTCCATCCAACATGACAAAACAAAAGCGTAACCTTTTCACTCTCAGGTGTCTCTTATTCCTTCATCATCAAATCCAGCGCAGTCTCATTTGTGCTTTACTGACTCCAGGCTTTTTTTTTGCGTGTCCACATAAAAATCAATACAAAGTTTACAGGCTGACAAGTCATTTTATGAAAATCCATTTCTTTCAATGGGACTGCAGTAGTTTGTTCAGCAACAGAACACAAGTCTGTAGTAGTGGCTCTCGTGCTGCGCCCCTCCTGCTGTTCTTTGGCTGTAAAATGTCTTTATGCACAAGCTCACGCAGACACTGGATTAGTTTAGTTTAGGATTTAGTCATTTTAAGAACAAAGGCAGACGTTGTAAACCAAAGGTACTCAGTTCTTAATCCTTTAACAGCAGTGGATAATTACATTAGAGATTGGCTGTGGCAAAATACACACACACACACACATAATTAACAAATTGTATATATCAAAGATATAAAGTCCCATATCACCTCGTCACATATGGAACAACAGTAATTGTTTACTTTTTGGAAATTGTTTTACCTTTTAATTATATGGAATAATGTTAGGATAAGATCCTGAATTTGTCCCAAAGTGGGTAAATTGTTTCACAGAACGTTACAGAACAGGAGGAATAAGGGGTACACAATAATAGATAAGTGAACATAAAGTATAACACAATTCTATACTTTTATAAAATTAAATACAAATCTCTATATTTAGCTTAATAAAGAAGCAGCACTAATACTCCATACTCTAGTGCAGGAATATATGCTTGAGAGTATACATACATGTCAAGTACATTGTGATGAGTCGTTAATGAGTAGTCCAACCTGTCATACACTCCTTCTGGAGTTATGCCGGTGATGACACTGATTATTAATGCGTTCCACAGATAAGACTGATCATATCTTCAGCCTCTAGTTTTGTCAGGAGGAGAGACGGGGGACGACAACTCAAGTCCCAGTTCGACTCATGAGTCCCAGTCTCTGAGTTATGCTAATGCTTTTACTTCAGACAAAAGTTCTCGCCCATTATGCTTTCCCTTGTCTAAATGGTTTCCACTATTAGGTCCAATTAGTCTGACTGAATGTCATTGCAACATTGAGCGCAAGTAGAACCTTGCGACATTAGGCTGTGACAATTAGTAACAAATTTAGCCAGCCATTACATGAGTAAAAGTCTAATGTGTGTGCGCGTGCGTGTGTGTGTCTGTGTTTTTGTGAAATAGATCCAGTGCACGGGCCACAGAACGTGAACGTGGTGGATGTGAGAGCTCGTCAGCTGACCGTCCAGTGGGAGACGTTTGGATATGCAGTGACTCGCTGTCATAGCTACAATCTTACAGTAAGACTAACACAAACCATAGACACTTTATGGTATAACACACACACAGGGGGACTTATATCAAGGGTTTGCGTGCATGAAAAACTGATGATTAGTTGCCCTTAACTTTGGCGAAATGGGAATTTTATGCATTTGTCCATTTGAACTAAGCTAAAATTGCATTTTTTTTTATTACTTGAAACCAGTAAAGTACCGCACCCCATATCTCCTTTAGAAAAAAACAATAATTTTATTTGTGTTATTTCTATTTATACTTTATTTAACCAGGACATTTTCATTTAGACTTTCAATATAGTCCTGTGAAAGAGGCACAGGACTACACAATTACATAAACACACAATTCCATTCCCTTCCCCTGTAAAGCTGCTGTTTTCTTCTGCCAGGTGCAGTACCAGTACGTCTTCAACCAGCAGGAGTTTGCGGCGGAGGAGTTGATCCAGACCTCGTCCCATTACACCCTGAGAGGTTTACGGCCTTTTGTGACAGTCAGGCTGCGGCTGGTCCTAGCAAATCCTGAGGGCAGCAAGGAGAGCGAGGAGATTGTCAAGCAAACAGAGGAAGATGGTAAGAACCTCTGCCAATTCTCAATGGCAATATGTATTTGAAAGATTGTTCTATTTTTTCCAAATTTACTCAATGTGCAAATTTGTTTTTTACTTAAAAACAACTAAGGCAATATGTTTCTTGCCTCCTCTACAGGACCTTTTTTAATACACTTCTAATTTGTGTAAAATAATGTTTTTTAATGTCGAGTAGACAGCTGGTGTGCCGCCGACCACCTGCTGAAAACTGTCTCCATTATATAAGATCAAAATGTCACAATCAGACTCAAGCTGCAGGAGAGCACACCACATAAACTGAACTATATAGACATACACAACACAGGCTGAAGATTACAAACTCAAAGTCACTTACACACAGAGTAAAACATTGTCCCGTTATGCCAGTGAGATGCATATTTGATGTATTTATTCCCAGCAGATGATGCAGTGATGTTCGTGTCTCTTTCAGCGTGGCTCAAGGATTTTCTCTGCTCAATTAGCTGCAACACTAAATAATGTATGTACGGAGGAGAGCGCCTCCGGGGAAAAGACCTTAAAGCTACATATTGAAACAAAAGAATAATTTAGCCTGCAGCGGGACAAGTATCAATCTTACACCAACAAAATGCATCTGATTACGTGGTCTTGAATTGAATCGTGCTCACGTGCCCCAAGCAGATCTAACAAACCTCCTGGTGATTTTCCCCTATGTACTTTTTAATTCACAGCATTCGCCCTAATCATAACTAGGAACATAATGTTAAAGTTTAATTTTTCTCTCCCTCACCCCATTAGACTGATATCCTCCTCAGGCTGCTGTACTTCTCCCAATCTCAGACCTAATGAGCTCTAGATTTAGCTTCAGGGATATTTCACCTATAGCTGCTGAATACACATCAATCTGGGCCTTTTCAGCGGGACCAAAGTGAATTGGGAATAGACGGGGCTTAAGGGGTAGAGTAGTGTAATTGTTTTGTGCTTAATTGTTTTTACTTTAGCGTTGTTAATCTCCGGGTTGTAATGCAGTAATTAGGAAACAGAGCGGCGCTTGTTCACACAGAGGATAATTGCTGCCTGTAGCTAATGTCTTTACAGTATAGACCAGGGGCCCGCCATGCACAGACGCACGGGGGGAAACCGCATGATGGATGCACGCAGTGGAAAGTTCATTTTCACACAACACCAGAGGAGCTATGAGCGTATGCATGTTTCAATATGCATGTTTTATTTTATTGTTAACTTTTGGGTTTGTAAAATACAGCAGCTAGAGTTGCAGAAAATACCTTTTTTGAACCAAATAAAGCCATATTTAATGGATTTTTAAGACAAGTTCAATTCAATTCAGTTTTATAATCCTACATCTTAACGGTAGCTATGTTGTTGATTTGTCAAAACAGATCAATCAAATAGTTCAAACACAAGAAATGCAATGATAAAAAACACCATTGGTCCATAAAGGATGGATAACCAATATCCATAAATGTTAACAATGTCATGGGGGGAGGTGAATGAAGGACTCAAAATGCAGGAAATGCCAAAATAAAAATTATTTAATGATGAAAAAACAAAAGGGTCGATGAAAACAAACTCAAAAATCCAAAACCACAGGGAACCAGGAACGGAACAAAACGGAACAGAACGGACAAGGACATGAGCAAGACAATGGACCAGCAACAAGGGGAGAGAAGCACAGGGTACATAGACACAGAGGTCAGGTGAAACACATCAGGGCGGGGCAGACAATCAAGACAGGGGAAACAGCACAGGAAGTCAACCAAACTACAGAGAACAATGTCAAAAGAAAACCAAAATACAAAATAACAAAATCCACACCGTGACAAATAAATGTTTTTCATATTTGGAATTCCAAATGTGTCTCTTAGTATTACATAGTATGCCCTGTGCAGACTTTGAGGAAAAGAAGGCTTCTGATTGGTGAATTATTAATGCTCAAATCTTGATTCATTCACATTCATGGAAAATTCTTAGCTATGGATCGTGTGCTTGCATGTGAGTCCTTAAAGTGGTTCTCACCCCCGCTCCTCGGAGCTTACGTCACTCACATTTCCTGTTCAAATCTTCCTCTAAATGGGCGTAGCCTGGAGGACTAAAGGGGCCGTGAACGAGACTGGGCCGTTTATATTGCTCTGGGCGGGGGGCTGCTGACGTCAGGTCCAACTTGCAGACGTCAGGTCCAACTTCTGTGCCAGTGTTGGCGCCAGATTCAAAATTCAAATGTAGTAATACAGGTCGCCAGCAGATGGCGCCTCACAGACGGTTTTAGGCAGAAAGTTTAAGTTTCAACTAATTTGCACCAAAGTGAAAAAACTATGACCAGGATATGTAGACAACACTATTGGACACTCATTTAAATCGTTTATCAGCAAAAAAAAGTGGATTTGAGGGTGAGTTGTCCTTTAATAAAGTATAAATAAATAAATAAATAAATTACAAACATTGGTTTTCTGGCCACACCATGGACCATATCTGTCATTACCGCATTTCGCATGATCTTATTGTTTGTTTCCCTAATCTGAATAATGCTCAAAGTCCTCCGAGATGACTGCTTTTATGAATTAGGGCTATTGTTATGACCCAAAGCACAATAGATTGGGACCCCATTTGGGACACAGCGGCAGGTTTAGATAAAAAGTATTTGAAGTTATTTTGTTAACTCTTTATTTTATGAATGAACCAAAAACCTAACCTTGTGTCCAGAACATAAAAAAAAAACAGATTATAAAAAAGGTCAACTAAAACATTACCAAAATTGTAAACATAAAAACATGCCTACAAAAACTTATGTATAACAAATAAAAATACTTGGACAAAAACATAAGCTTCAAAACCAAGGAGGAAAGGTGCCCAAATAAAACAGCTATAGAACAAAATAAACAAGAGAATATCATATACAACAGAAACTTTTAAAGCAAGAAAAGTGAAGAAACACACATACAGTATATCATTTGGAATAAAGTAAAAAAATAACTGCCTCTTTTGTCTGTGATGAAAGAACATTTGTCGGGCTCACTCGGAGTCTTTCAGGTGAGGTGAGGACAGGCGACGCACGTCTGACACTCGGCCATGTGTGCAACTTCAAGTGTGAGCCTCCCCGTGTCTCGCGTTACATCATCACAATTGTTACGGGGCAGATTTGATTATAATTAGTTTTAGAATCAGAAACACTTTGAAGCGGCACAATAATGAAATATCCTCTTCAAAGAACTATCAGTGTATCAATGTGGTGTGAGAGCGAATGTTGGTTGGCGGTCAGAGAGGATGATAGTGACTTAAGTGAGCAAGAAACGTGCAAGGCTATACAAATGTGCTTTTAAAAGTTTTATATGTGCCTCAATGTGTCTTGCCTCGCTTATTTAATTATTTTTGTCTGTGTGTGCTTTGTGGTGTTGGTGCCCCCAGTGTCTCCTGTTTGTAATCCAATTTAGTTTTTGTCTGCAAATGGCAATACATTGATTTTGATTCTGATTCTGATTTATCCCTTTTACTAATAAAAAAACAGCTCAGTTTTTCCAGTCAAAAGTTAGAAGTGCAGTGTGTAGTTTACATAAAGTTAATAATAATGAGGTTTCTTTTACCTTTTGCATTAACTTGAAATCTCATATGGTGTGATTTTTTCTTGTGTAGTTCCCGGCTCGGTGCCCATGGAGTCTCTTCAGAATACAGCGTACGAGGACAAGATCTTTCTCCAGTGGAAAGCTCCTAACGAGACCAATGGAGCCATCACTCTGTATGAGGTATGTACTGAATGAAATGAAACAGCAGTTTGACATGTCAGGATTTAGCTCTGTGTTTAAAGTGTACACCTCGTCCAGAGTCACTGCTTTTATGTGGTCAGAGATTCAATTTTACATGATACACTCAGGGAGCGATACTTGAAAGTTCTGGATTTAATTGAAAAAGTTGAGCAATCTTTTCCACAAAACTCTGCCATGTTGGATTTACGTGATGAAATAAATGAACAAACACCTTGTTTACTTTGATTTGCTTTTCAGACAAGCTCTACTGCTCGCTTGCACAATTCATTTGCTTTCGGCAGCACGATTAAAAGTATAGTTTGATTAATGAAACATGCTGTCAAGTCGGCCAAATTCAGTGTACTTTAAAGGATCTGTTTGTCTTGTCTCACTAGAATTTGGTTATTTGATTTTATTTTTGAAAACTGTATATGAATCAGACGAGAAATGGTCCTGAGCACTTGTGCTTACCGGGTAAATCAGACTTAAACAACATGCCCTGGTTTACATGCATTTTGATGAATCGATTATGTGGGGAAGTTGGCCTGTGTGTCAAAATAAGGTGGCAGAACAGAAAAATAATGTGTGTATCAGAAGATTTATCTCACACAAGCGCAACATACAAGCCTGTCCGTTGGGTGTGTCTCCCTCGATGAGGTTCACCTGGGAGCCTTTAAAATGAGATATACCTCCACCCTCAGGGTTGGCAGGCAATACAAAATGGCTGATGAGGACACACCCTCAATAGTTACAAAATACATTTATAAAATGTGGCATTAAAAAGGGGACAAAGTTACCTGCTTTGTCACAGATTACAATTGTACAAGGCTAGTTATCCAATGCTCTCCCTTCCCATGTGAGGCAGCGGGTGTCGCTCTGTCTGTTGTTATTTTTGAAGTTTATTCAGGTTGAAGTAGAGTGGAGCCCTCCATGTAATGAATTATTGACCTGCTGTGTGTGAAGGCTCTCGGTGCACACACAGTGCACCGAGAGCCTTCTGCCCAACACCTACCAACACTCTTGCTCTTAAGTGAGTCACGATATTGGGTATGGTTTATGTCCTCTCCTAACGTGTAATATGTGTAATGAAGATCATTGTATATGATGTTCCTGGTTTTTATTTTTGAGATGATTGACAATCCCACTAAACTAAGTGTACTACATAGTTCCCTGTCTTTTGCACTTAATATACTCTGGACTTGAGATGTTTACTCTTCTATCTTTAAAATGTGAAAAACAGTTCGTGTTCCATTTCTAAATGTCAGTGTTATGGTTTAAACAACACTCTTGTGGTTTCCTCTCAGGTGCTCTCCTAATTGCTGTAATTAGCATACATTATTTTGTATAGATTAATAACCATTGTTCCATTTCTGTAACAGGATCTTAATGACAATTGGATTGAATAATGTCTATTCTCCCTTTACTTATGTCTAATTTGCTAGTTATGCATCGTAGAACGCTCATACTTTGGTCCAGGGTCTAATTTATCTCAGTTCCACACTTGAAAGATGACACATTTTGCACAAAGAGCAGCAGACGACTGGAGCCCCTTTAGATGTAGCAGATGAGGCCTTTAATCCGTCAATAGCTGCAATTATAGTCATTATCTCTAATAGCAGCGCTTTGTATGGACTCTCTGATATGTTGAACACACGAGACATACACTACATTGATATTAATGAAGAGACACAGTCCAGGCTAAATGAACCGCACTCCCCACAGGCCTGAGTGTGGACTGAGAAGGAGAGGAAGGTCTAAAGGAGGTGTATCTGCTGACGACCTTTTGTTACAGAGAAGACAGAACTGAAAGGAAAACTTAGACTGTGACAACTGTGATTGTCTAAATTCTAGACATAACATTACATTATTTTATTTTATTTATTTAAAAAGTAGTAAAGTAAAAAAGTAAAGTAATGTCAAACGATAAACATTTGTAAATGCGATCAAATTTCATTATTGTCATAGTTAACTCATAATTAATTGCAACTAATCACACATTTCATCCCTGTTCTAAAGTCCCCTTGATTTTGTTTGAGAAGGGATTGAACAACGCAAAAAAATATTAATCCAATCTTGGTTCAACAATTAACAAAAAAAATATTGGAAATTAGAGCGATATTTGATATGAGTGTTTATTATTTAGATAACGATATTATTGCGATAGTTTTGTCTGTCACCTAAAACTGCAATCTGCGTTGAAACGCAAGAAAGATATAACAAAAATAAGCACAACATTAATGACCTTCAAATGCATATATTTACTTATATATACGTTTTTGTTTGTTTGTTGTTCTTGTTGAATGTTGATGTGTCCGTCTGTTTTGTTGTCTTTAATAAAGGAAAAAAATAAACAATATTGCGATAACAATATTTTTATATTGTTATTGCCCTAATATTCAGATATAATGATAGTGTTGTCAATGCAATATTTTGTCACGTGTTGATTGACATATAGAGAAACCAAAAGTAATGCTGAAATAAAGGATATTTGACTCAAACAGATCTACTGCTCCATATCTTAGTTTCATACACTGTCTATATATATATATATATATATATATATATATATATTTTTTTTATATCACTATTGACAAAAGTACGGTTCGAGCTGGGTTCCAAAGATATACATACTGTAAGAAAAGCTCCTCTTCTGTTCGTCCAATAGTTGCCTTCCTTCTCTCAGATAGTGTTCCTCTGTGTCGATAATGGACTATTCTTAGTGTGGCCTGAGCTCTGATACTGACTCAGCTCTGGAGGTGCTCTGTTTTTGATAACATACAATAATATAAGACTACTTTATTCATTACACACTGCACAACACATAAATAGCTGTAAAATATTAATACAATTAACTAAAATCTTTACCTGATGCATAATATTATTATTACACACTAATAAGTATACTCTACAGAATAATATAGAATGTATATATAGTAGTAATGGGACTTAAACATTTTTAATTGTCCGGTGTGGTGCGTTCCGGGTAGGGTGCCGGTCCTGCGGAGGCAACATGTAATTAGAATTGGGCATAGTGCCATATGTGTAGCTTAAGAAGTGGTAATGTTTTAGTGTTTGTGCATGCGGTGAATGGTCGGGTGTCTGGGTGCGTGAATGTGTGTGTGAGCGCAGTTTGTTTACCTTGTCTCTTGTGTCCAGGATAGCGTGTCTGACGGAAAGAGTCCGGGGGGGAACGGACGCCGCTAAAACCCGTTCCGGGCTGAACCAAGGGGCAGAATAGGCGGGGGGGGGGACTGCAGGGTTGTAACGGGTTTTAGGTCTTGGTTTATTTTGTTGAGTGGTTTGGGTTGGGATTGTGTATAGTGGGGTTTTTTTCTATGTCTTTGTATTTTGGTTGGGGTTTATATGTGAGGGTTGTAGAGGTTGTGAGAGCAAATGTGACATGTGGACACCTGCTTATCTAGAGTGGTTTTATCCAATTTAGAGGGAGGGTATTTAAAGAGTCTCATGCTCTCACTCTGGGTTGGGCTGCTGGATGAGCTACACTGATTGAGTCCTCCCATGCACTTTAATGCATTTGCACTTTATTATGGTGAACTTTGCATTTTTTTCACACAAAAAAAAAGAAAATAAATTTGAAAAGTGGACCCTCAAGACTGCCTCCCTGGTGTTTGTGTGCCCACCGCCGCCCGCTCGTGCCTCCCTGTTACAAGCTCTGATTGTCACCCACCAACCCAGAAATTGAATAATGGAGGGGAAGAAAATTGCATGACATGACAATGAGACAGGAGCTCTACAGGGTGGAACAACTAACTCCATCCATCAACTACTGATTACAAACCCCAAAATCATATAATCTTAATACACTATACATAGTGTAAACATACTCCAGAGAATGGTGGTGGAGAGAGATTCAGAATTTGCTTCTTTCATGGTCATAAATAGAAGAGATGGCAAAAGATTCCAATCAGACTGCGCCATCAGCCCTGATGAGAGACACTAATCTGAAATGAAACATGTAATACATCATGATTTAAACAAACATAAAACAAACACATCTTTTTTGGTCATGGTCTAGTCAAAATTGTCTGAGTTTAGCATGCTAGTGTATGCTATGTAACAACTTTGTGCTCAAATTAATCATGAAACTGTAAAAATGATAATACTACACATCACTTAGTTGCTTCTTTATTCTTTAGATGCTGTCAAAACCTTTTAACATGGATTCGCATTAGCCACAGGACTTCAGTGTTGCTCTATTGAATTGTAAAAGGGCAAGGTTTGGAGACGTGACGACTGAGGCTCTGTCAGATCGACTGCTCGAATCAATGTGAGAGCTACAGGTCTGTGTCTCTCATGAGCTGCGCTTTGACAACAGAGTAAATGGACTCAATCCTAAATCCATTCGTATGAAAACTTCAATATTTCTTAAAAGGATTGTCAATGCGCGGCCCGCTGCGCTTGCATCTTGACAAACGTGAATGCGAGTTGTTTGAAAAGAGTATGAACCGTGAGGGCAGTGCAGTGAAGTGCAGTGTGTTGTAAGTAAAAGATCAGTCTTCTTTTCAAGCAGGAAAAGCAGACTGATCTACAGTATATAGTGGAGTTGGTTTTTTAGCTTTGTTTGGTGGCAATTCAACCAGGTCCAGTGGTTTCAACCAGTCAAAACATGACTAAAAACATGTTTTTAGTCATGTTTACAGAATATTGAGCCCAGTTCTAACACACACATTCTGAATAGAGATTTTCCTTCAATACAATTCACAAAACATGAATGTGGCGGCCCTTTGACATCCCCAACCTCGGATGGTTTTCTTTGTAGAAATAAATACTATTATTAGCTTTTAGAATGATCAATTTTATTTTTGCTGCTACTGGACACCTGACTTTCTCCTTCTTGGATCAATAAAGTATCTATCTATCTAAAGGACGGGTCAAATGCAGAGGATACATTTACCATAACGTTTTATTGGTTCAGTTTTCTCCCGAGCTGACGATCCCTAAAAAGGGCATTGGTTTCCCCTACAGGACTGAAGCACATCCTTTTGCAAATATGGTCCTGATCCTATTTGCCACTAGATCGTAATTGTAGAAATGTTGATTTCTGTGTCGCTCTGTGATGTTGGCAGATCACATACAAGGCCCTGAGCTCGTGGGATCCCAGCGCTGACCTGAGCACTCAGAGAGGACGAGTCTTTAAACTCCAAAATGAAACTCAGCACCTGTTTACGGGACTGTTTCCTGGGACCACCTACTTTTTCACCCTCAAAGCCTCCACCAACAAAGGCTTTGGCCCCCCAGTCACCTCCAGGATCACCACCAAGATTGCAGGTACTGTTTATTTTTATGGCTTTTATCTCCAACTACAGCCTGCATTTTAAATAATAGGCTCAATCCAATTAGCTCTTTGTTCCTGCTTGTATTGTCCCTTTATGACAATAACAGTAGCGACGGGGGGGTTGAGGTACTTTCTGTCTTTGTCCACCAAACATCCAGTTTAGTACCTCTGTTGCTATGAACAGAGAGCAACAGTGAGGCTTCTAAAGTGCAGACATGCTCATCTCTTTTCAATATCTTTTCATGCAGATTGTTTGGCTATTTCTTTGTGCATTTAGGTCACATTAAACATGCCTGCATATTTTAAATAAATGATTCCCAAACAGCACCTGAGTACCAGCCATGCATTGTCATTTTAATTTGATTGTGATAAATATTGAAGTACAATTGTATCATAAATGTTACAGCAGTCCCAATGCTCTCAGTACATATCTCAAAAATAAGACAGTTTCATGACATCTTTGGCACCTGCGTTGCTAAATTACAGCTCCCATGATGCCAGAGTACGAGTCTGAAACAGCGCTGAACGAAACCGAGACGACCATCACCATTTTGCTGAAACCCGCCCAGTCCAGAGGGGCCCCTATCAGGCAAGTACAAATATCCGCTCCACACTGCATTCTGATCTTGTCCTACATCCTTTATGCAATCAAGCTCACCATAGCTCACTTTCTCAATTTTCTCTTCGCCACGCCTTTTAATTAAAATTGGGACTCAGAGAAATGGATCCGGGAAATGTGTGAATGAGTAAGAGCTTTAGTGGCCAACTGTAAATCCTTTAAGACCAGACTATTTACCTCCACTACACAGCGGCAAAGTTTTCTGCAGTAGAAGAAAGTGAAGGGTAGACAATGTGACTTCAAAATGTGTACTCATGAAATTCAACTTTTCTCCGACGCGTTTTGATGAATGATGCAACATAATGGATATTTCAATGAATGCAATACCATTATGTCATTAGGAAACATGCTTTATATAAAGTATCTACAGATTGGGCCAGTGCTGTACTCTCTGAAAGCCATTAGTCGAAAACTGATATTTTTCTGAGTACTCGTCTTTGGAAATCAGTAATTATCTTTGATGAGAGCTGCCAAATGGAACGCTGGGGATAATTGCCTGGGGCCTCCTTCACAGAAACATACATCTCCCTAATTGCATCTAATTGTGAAGTGAGTTGTTGGCGTTTGGAGGATGAAGATAATTGCGGAGGGCCCTGTTTTCTAGCCGGACGCTGAAGAAGCCCTCAGCCCACTGAAACAGTGCACACACATTAAACACAAGAGGGCTTTCAAAGGCAGGCTTTAAAATGCATAAATACACGTCCACCTGCTGCTCAAAGCTCTACCTTTTAGCATGAGTTAGAGCTCCTAAAACACTGCTGTAATTCTTCCTCGATTTTCTTTGTATATAAAGTGAATAGGCAAAATTATGAAGGTATTACAAGCAACGGCAATCTACATTTAATGCACATTTTCCTCATTTTTAAAAGAAAGTGCAAATGACTTTCAGTGAGCAAATTGTTGTCACATTTCAAACTCTGACCTGTGTCAAACTGTAACAGCCCGTGCACACCGCACATGACCCGTGAAGCGGGGAGACTGGGGGTCCGCAGAGCCAAAAGCCTTGCATATTGTGTCCTGCGCAGTGACACAGCTTCTAGTCAAAACACATGGGAAACGTGTTTTTGTTCGTGGTCCTCTGCACAAGATCAGCTCCACTCTGCCAAGGGTAGGCGCTCGTCACTCGCTGCGCTTGCGGTGTGCACGGGCTGTAATCGAGACAAACTAAAGTGTCATTGGTGAACCACTACAATAAATGTAATCATCCCTCTGTTCACAGTTCATATCAGCTGGTGGTAAAGGAGCTGCGCAAATCCAAAAGTCGACGGGCTGCGGAGGAGCCCCAGTGCTTCTTTGCTCCTATCAGCTCCAAAAACGCCTCCAGATTGGACTCTTCCTACTACATGGCCGCCGAGCTACCGCCCTCCAGCCTCACAATGGTGCAGCCTTTCACTGTTGGGGACAACAAGAGCTACGGAGGTTTCTTGAACCCGCCACTCTCTCCAGCCAAGAGCTACAGCATCTACTTTCAGGCCGTTAGCCGTTCAAATGGGGTCAGTTCTTTCGGATACTTTACTTTCGGATACTATTTTTCTATTCTATTTTTACCACTTTGGGGTTTTCAATGTGATGCGGGACAAATGCCTCTAGTCTGGTCTGTGAAAGGCGCTGTATAAAAATATTTACTGCTTGCACTCATTTTGCAAAAGCATTGGTGTTAATGAGAAAAGCAAAATATTCCTGGTCAAATTCCTCTCTTCCTCGCTGTAGACCTGATCTCACCTATTTTAAATACCCATAAGTCTGCTCCCACTGAGTATTGTGTTAATTTTCCACTGCTATGAACACGCAGTACCTCTAATGCCATGATCTAATCTCCTGATTTCCCACAATGCACCAGCCCTTAACGATGCGTTTCAAAGGTGCTTACCAGTTTGGCAGTTTTAGACACGCACTTGTGTATCTAATGCTTTTGATTGGAAGGGTCAAGAAAGTGATACCTCAAATACTGTAATTTCTAGAAACAAAAGAAAGTTACCAAAAAACCTCACACAAAAGTATGGTACTGGTATACAACTCTGCTGATGATTTGGACACACTTAGCATTTTATTTCGATTTCATCCATATTTCCCATCACACCAGCTCATCAAGAGTTGAAGAAAACAAAAGGGATCACAAGGGGTCGTAATGCACTGGACCTTGTATTCTGTTTAGAACGCGAGACTCAGCTTTTACTGTAGAACTTTCGATACTGAATATGACAAAGAATCATCTATAAAAAGTAAGAGATGCAAATAGAGAGGATAACCTTTATGGTGACATCAAAGAGTCTAGGAGCTTTTGGCACTGACTGGCTGCAAGCCCAATATAAAAATGCAGGTAGGGTGATTTCACTCTCAGACTCACAGACTTCCCTATGAACTCTATTGGTGATGAACTCCACTGGTCATGCCCTCATCCTGTCCCCCGAAAATGTGAAGATTTTTTTTTTCAGCTGGTTTTGTTGGTCCCTTACAATCGTCTTGTACTCTTGTTTTTCCACGTTGAGTGACAGCAGCCCATTCTCCTGTTGGTCTAAGTGCTTCTGAAAATCAGCCTGCTTCAACAATTCTTTACTGTAGTTGACAATTCAACTTACATACAATAGTTGAGAGAGCTGTCTGAGCCTTTGCTGCGTTGTTTGAATTGCCAACCTTTTTAATACATACTGACAGCCTGATCTAAATTGGGAGAAGCATAACGCCTGTACATTGTCCCTGATAGTACTCTGAAGTAGAAAATGACAGCCGCCTCAGCCGCCTCGTTTGATGAAGACAAATGGGTCGACAGGTGAAGAAGCCAATCTGTGGGAGACACTGAGTGCACATCAGCGTGACAGCCTCATGGAGCAGAGCGGCGCTGAGCAGAGAAGCAGACAGGGCAAGAGGAGGAATGAAAGGGGCTGTATATAACAGAGCTCTCCAAAGATACTTCACTAGCAGACAGATGATGGCTTCAAAATGAGAACGAGAGGGGAGAAGGGGAGAGAACTGGACAAGAGACGGAGTATCTAAAATGTTGCATTGTCCAGCTGTGAAATGTTTACTGATGTTATTTCCACTTTTGTGTTCCCAGGAAACCAAAATCAACTGTGTCCGCCTGGCCAACAAAGGTATGATCACTCCTCCATTGACACTGATTTAAAGGTGCGCTGTGACACATGTTTAGCTTGGAATGTTTGATAGTATGCCTCTCCACCTGCTGAAATTGCATTCATTCAGTTACATGACTTTAATAGACCAGAAAAAAGCAAGATTTGTTTCTAGAAATGCAATTACATCTCCAAAGAGCAAACCTGTCAATGGGCCAGGTAGCATCCCGCACTGTTGTTTCATTCATTGAAACATACCAGGCAGGAGCACTGACACAATCGTGGTTACATACAGATGTTCCTTTAGATGTATGACTTTTCTGTCTTTAGTTGCGCACTTGAATGGACTCTCAAGTAGTCCGAACTCATTTCACTCTAAACTGCCGGCAGCCCGATACCTTTTTCAATACATATACTGTGTGCGCTTTATCCTCCACCTCATTTCACCTGCTTATGATTTGCTTTCTTCATTGATGCCATTTGCAGATCATTCCTGGCAAGTCCACCATTTGTGTTGCAGACAATGTGCTCTGAGCGCCTTTGAGTTCATATTGATTTCAAACACATTTTCATAAGTCCCTTGTTGACTCTTCCACTTTTGTGTCTTCTGGTATTTGTGCATTTTATTTTCTTTGTGTTATGGTTCCACTCTGGTCGTAGGAGGGGGCTGTGGGTTGAGGGTTCATCAGAAAAGTGTATTCTTTATTGGAATCCATTGATTGCTTGACGTCCAAAGATCAATCTTACATTAAAGGTAAAATTTGCATAATGTATAAACTTTGTTCAGGGGTCAAGGGGATCTGTATACAGTATATACAGCAGTAATGACATGCAAACAGACAATCAATTATATAGCATTGAAAAATATCAGCGTTTCTGAAAGAGTTCATGAATCATGTGAATATATGTCCATTGGTTGAGTCAGGCCGAGACATAGGTGGGCTTTAAGCTCTGTCTGTGATTTGTTGTCACCTCACTAGTCTCTATTGGTTGGACTTTTCTTCCGCATAGCTTTTGTTTGTTCACATATTGATCTGATGGATACAGCACTCAGTGCTGGTGGTTAGGTAATGACAAATATGAAAAAATAACGTATGCAATAGAGAGAAAATCGTGAATGAATTACAGAGTGACAATATTATGGCTTTGAGAATCCTCTCTGCCACCCGGACATAGACCCAAAGCCTGCGCACTGCAGCGTGTGAGGAGCCTGAAGACAGAGTATGTCATTGTGGTCCGGTTTTTCCCAAAGCCATGCGGGTTCACGAAGATCAATGCAATGACAGCTGTTTTCTCACTGGGAGACCAGAGCAGGCCGCCGCAATTTGAATCAGATCCGAGTCCTACCCACTCTAAAGTCGGAGTGAGTGTAGGTCTGGTGTCACTCGTAGCTCTCTGTCACTCAACATGCAGAGAATGATTTAAACAAAGTTGCAAGTCAATGTTTATAACAGCTCAAAATTCTTCACCCACTGATGTGGAATTAAAACACAGTTATGTGACATTTTCAAAAGAAAAATACATTTAATGCTTTATTATCCATTCATTTTCATCTGTCTGTTTATTTTTCTGTTTCTTCTGCTCTTCTTTTTATTCTGACAATCCCAGCCCAAGCATCTACAAAAGCCCTTTAGCAGTTACATCTATCACATCACTGCTCTTCTTCATCTTGCGTTTAGCATTACTCTTGATGTTGTTCCGTGCTTTGTCTCACCAGTATAATTTCTCTCCAGGAGTTCCGATGGATACTTTTTTGTAGACTATTTTCTTATTTCTTTTTCTTCCCTTTTTTTGTTGTTGTTTGTTTTCTTTCTATCTCTGTCTTGCTCTCCGGCGGCGACTGACGGCCCTTGGTCTTAGTGGTAATAGGTAGGGGACAAATAACAACGCCGTACATTCTAGTCATCCCAAGCGAAGGTGATTATTGCTTCCCACGCACAATCTTTTCTTCTGTTCCAATTTTTCATCACAAAACTAACCCCCGAACACGACCCCAGCATTGATGTGACCAAGTCCACTTTCTCCATGCTATACTCATGCTTTTGGTTTTCCATCTCATCGTCATATGCATTTGTTTTTGCATGCTTGCTGAGCTTGGCTGTTGCTGGCTGTTTGAACCCTGTGTCTGTCTTGCATCTCCACGCACATATAGGCATATTCATGTTCAAAGAGGATGTGTAACCTAAAATTAAATCTAACATTCCTGCATAATTAATCAATAGTGTTTTTTGAGTGATTAAAATGCATGTTTGAATTATTCTGTATTCGTTTGAGGCTTGAGGGTTCAGATTGTTTTGTCTTTCCCTTTCCCTACGTCAACTTTTCCAACTCTCCAAAAAACGTAAAAAAGAATCAATTTTTAGAACAACTCAGGTCTGTTTTTGATGAGGGACAATTTTGTTAATTGGTTAAAAGCCCAAATACTGTATTTGTACCCTTTTTGTGAATCAACACTTTGATTTTAGAATATTTCCCACCAATTTAACAACATCATCAAATATTCCTCAGAATTGTAATTTACACCAGGAGGAAAATAAAGATGAATGGCCTTTTATCTAATTTGTATTTTTTACTTTATTTCTGGTGAAAATATTGTTGCCACAAATCCTTTTAGTGCTTCCGGGCACAGCAATATGACATGACAGATTAATATGAATGTTATTGAGAAAAGCGCCAGTCAAAAGCCTCACAAAATACGGCCACAAAGGGACCAGCGGCAGAGAAAGCTGCTACTGTCACACAGAGAAGAACAGTCATCAGGTTTAATGTCCCGGAGGCCCCCGCTCTGGAGCCAGACACGTCCACAATCGGATAAATATAGATTACATTCATATGGATCTCAGGCATAATGGAGGCAGAATTTCTGTTATTGTCGAAGTAATGCATTTTTGCTCCGTCAGGGACAAATCCTGGCCACTAATAAGACTCATTTGTATGTTTTTATTTGACAGTTTATACCAAGAGCCAAGGACACTGCTAAATTCAAAGATAAATGTACCCTTAGTCATGAAGCAAATTGTTTAGAAAATAATAAAATATCAAAAGACATAAGACATCTGATATCCAATAAACCTTCCATGTCTCCATTATGTTTATATTTGTAGCATTGTCAGAAGTAAGCCCACAAATATACTGGAATACTAAAACTGGTTATAAAACTTGCTGAACAGTTGAACGATCTTGGAATCTCTCAGAAATGCAACTTGGTCCGCTGCCTGTGGTGAACTGACAATCAAATATCGTCTGGAGCACAGAGCTGTGCAGTTCACCTACTTTTGATCCTGCCCCCGCTATTCAGAATGTGCTATCCACCTTTTTGTGGGTTTGCACGTATTGTTTCATGCAACATTTTAAGCCCATTTTTTCTTATCAAAAGATATACTATTTGGAATTGTTAATCCAAATAATAACAGTTTTCTATATTATTCCTCCTTAAACCCATGAATGAAATAAGGATCATACAATCATTTCATCCTAGTTTCCTTATCCTATATCTCCTATATCCAGATGCTTAAGTGTGGAGGAGTTTGACACGTGTGTTCTATTGTATTGGTACAGTTAACCTTAGCCAGTGGTAGAGGTGGTGAATGTCAAACTCTATTCATGTTCTCATTAGACTGAGCTCTGAGTCGTGCAGGAACTAAAATGGAGACTCAGTGCAACAGTGATGCAACATGGAGACCTCTGCCCACTTCACATTCTCAGGGTTCTGACGGGAAAACACATCACTTTGACAATGACAAACGTTTGCATGTTAACGTTTGCTTAAATGTTTGCAAACGATTGAGTCAGACTTCTTTAAAAGATAAACTTGAGACCTTGTGATTAACACGCAGAATAAAGGAATAATTCATGTATGAAATCATTTTATTTTGAACATACCCTCGAATATATAAATAAAACATATTTTGGCCTATCTCTTTAAATAAGGGCTGCAACCAATACCAATGCTCTGACCCATGGCTCACTCGGGTCAATAACAAGCTTGGGTCTAAACGGGATTATATGAGACGAATACGAAGAGTATTTTAATCACTCAATCATATAACTCTATTTCTGTATTTTCTGTTATTATTTCAAAAAACACAACACACACACACAGGTCCAAGACTTCAAGGCTCCTCATGAAGTGAAGTGAGACACGGTTCTGGAAAGTCTAATCACCAGTTTAGTCTAAATAGAACTGTGAAAGAGGTGAACAAAACAAGTGTTGCTTTTGGTGATGAATAATAAGAGCAGGATTCTTCAAAACAACACTCACGTTATTATTATTTTTCGTATTTTGATAATCTCTCCACCTACTTCATTTTATTTGGGTCAGGTAATACTGTTCTGAATGAACACATGCAGTACACGCACGAGAATGACTTCAGTCGAGTAGAGATTAGTAATCCTGTTTCACACTATCATGTCTTTAATCCAGGGAGATAAAACGCCTACAGAAAAACAACTCTATCAAACATATAAGGGTAATATTATACAAGCTTGATCGCAGCGTATCCTATTGTGACAATTATTTTGAAATAACTGCATTTAAAAAAAAAAAACAATATCAAACAAGCATCCAGAATGGTTTGTTCTCCATTTGTAAACATTCAAAAGTGGATCAGTATTTAATAAGTCTTTGAACAGTGGAACGGTACGTCGGCAGAGAATCAAATCTCCACTGTATAAAATGAGATTATGTTTTTAATATCTCTCCTACCCATAATTCCTTCAGTGTAATGTTATCAGGCTCGCTGCAGAGGGTCGATTTTTAAAAAGCAGTACAAAAGGAGAAGAATACTGATGCAGAGGCAGCTGAGATTCACTTTGGTTTGAAATGTAAATCTTTCTCTTAAAAAGGTTTAGAGGTGATAAAAACAGCTTAGATAATATTGCATTAAATCAACACTACATTAGTAGGAGTATATATCTGATCTTTTTCAGTAAACAACAACACTGCCAAGAGAATGATCTGGGTGTGTGCCAACTGTACTGTACACTTGAATGACATGTGGTTCTTACATTTAAATGCCTTTTTTGTTTTAGTTTTTTATTTATTTTAACAATTATTTGTTACTTACAATTGCCATTGTAAGTAACAGAAAGTGATACAAATGTGACCCACTGCTTTGACAGGGGATCCTCAAACGAAAGACAGAAAACGGCCACAAGTGCGTTTATCGCCTAAGTAGACAGTAGTTAACGAGGTGTGAGCGTTTCTGATTAATGACATTAGCACTAAGCAGTTACAAAGTGACATTTACTATATGAAAAACACTACACAAGAGGATACAGTATATTTCTTGGCCAACACAATCTGAATAAAGAAAACATGGCCATTACTTAATCACGAATCACAAATGTCAAATTATATTATCTATTCAATATTCTGAATCGTAGCCCTCAATGGTTGGGCTTTGAAGGGCGGGCCCTGGTGTAGGCCAAGGCCCCTATATTTTGTCTGATTGAGTGTCAAATAATAAAACAAACTCAATTTCAAATACCCTCTCTGCTTCTATTATAAAATTTCCAAAACATATTAAGTAACAATCACAACCACGGCATTTTATCTTCTCTTCAACAAACAAAAGTACTCTTATTTTCAGCCCTCCCATTTAATTCCAGGTCCCGTCTTGTTAATATTCCTCGCAGCCACTTGGTCTATGGCTCCTCTGCTCCCCTGTGTAGTGCAGTGAAGGCCAAAAGCCGGGACAGAGACGCACAGAGCAGCGTGTCTCCAATCAATAACTGTCCTTCCCCGGAGACTAGTTTACTGGAGAAAATACAATATGGAGTCTCTTTCTCAAGGCCTTCACTGCTCATTCTGTCCCCTTTCACAGCATAAACACAGCTATAAGTATTCATGGCGAGTGTCAACAATGCTCTTCACGACAAGTATATGCCAGCGCTTCTGGGTATTTGTAGCGCTTGTTTTGACACAAGATCAATCTCTGGTAGGCTACGGTCGATACTGTTAACTTTTATTGGGTTTAAAAATAATAGGAGTTTCTAAGGAGAAAGGAATGTATAGAAACTTGAAAAAGCATTGTACTATTTTTCAAAGTAGTTTATGTGACATCATCACGACGTCATCAGGAAATTTTGCGGGTATAAGTATGGAAACGTTTTGAGTACTATTACTAATATAGAAACTAGATGCTGATTTGAGAAAGGGCCTTTCTGAGTGGAGTTTGCATGTTCTCCCCGTGTCTGCGTAGGTTTCCTTCGGGTACTCCGGTTTCCCCTACCACTAAAAATATGTCCAATAGGCATGTCTGGCATGCGCCTCCTGTACTGGCGACCCCGCTCCCATCTCTGTGTGGAGTGAGAGATAAATGCCCATAATTAACAATTGTAAACCGCTTTGAGACTCAGATCTGCAGTGAAAAGGCGGTATATAAATAAAGATTACTATTGAAAATAATATTACATAAACATGAAAACATTTTGAATTTCTTACCTTTTAATACAAAACTATATCAGAAGAACCTTAAACAATCTTGGAAAAATGTATTTTTTTTTTCAAATATAGCATTCATAATTAATTGCAGTGTTGGTTCAAGTGTTGCATATTTTTTCCAGTGTCGTGACAAAGTGCCATCTGAGTTTGGATCAGACGTTTCACTGTAGTGGGCTTTTTGACACACAACACTTCACAAGAACACTATGTTCAGATTACTTTTGAAAAAAACATTTCTACATTTTCTACCTTATGTGCTCACAGTTCATCGTAACAACATGAGCCGTGTTATTCGCCACATTAGACCTCAACATCAGTCAATTCTCTTTTTGAACTTTTCCTCTCTGTGTAAACACTCCTGGTTGCTGTTCTGTCAAACTGCTCCTGATTGGTTGAGAGGCTCTTACCTCTCTGAAATGGCCAATCGTAGTGTTAAATAGAGCTGAACCCGGAGCGCAGATGGTCCTCTAGTGTTACGTGGTGAACTGTTGAACCCTATCAGCTCGCACCAGGCGCACAGGGGTCAGCTGAGGCGTGACGTGGGGCACTCGGGGGGAAAATGGAGCTTTAATTCACCTGTGGGAGATTACCAGGACAGAGGTGTCACTCATGAGGAGAGAGGGGGACGCCAAAAAACTGTTTTTGTTGTAGGCTGACGTTGATGGTAACCATGTAGTATGGAACCTTTCTTTTGGTGTCTGACTGAAAATACATATACATATATTCTAAAACCTTACATGGCTGAGGTGATGGATGCAGACTCTCTAAAGCCAGTATCTGTATGATGAATAATCCAGTACAAAACTATCATAGTATTTTCATTATTTATTGGCCTTATTCATTACTTTCTGGTGTTCGGGGGCAAAATGCATTTTGATATAAAAATTAAATGAAATAAGTGTCCTGGCTTCCCTGGTTTCCTTACATGTTGCTTACGTCCTGGAAGGGACGCTGTGTAGAAGGGAAGTGTATCGATATGAGGGGAATCTCAGACCCACCTGTAGGGCCTACTGTAGACTGGTGGTGGTGGTGAGCACCCAGATGCTGCTGAAGAGTTGGGGTGGAGGAGGATTGCATTTAGCTGTAGAGCTACTACTGCTGGACGAAGCTCCACTTTTGGAGATGGAGAGTTGTGATATTTTTTATCTGCAGGTGACAGATCAGGTGACCAATGGGGGGAAAGGCAAGGGCAGAAAGAGGATAAAGGAATTGATTAAAGGTGGGAGACTAGACAGGGTGTGTCTGAACCCTCTCTATAGCCTTGATCCAGTACAATATTTCATTTTTTCAATTTTAAATAGTATTTTAGCAAATACAGAAATAGACTGATCATGAGAAGTGCAGTGGCAGACATTTCCTCATATCTTTGGCAGCAATGCTTCTGTGTGCTGGGGTAAAGAGGTGTTTTAGTGAGAATCATGTCATAAAGCCATTGAAGACTGCAGCAGTCATTACTGCCTCACCAAGGGTTAGGTGCTTAAGTCTGAGCTGCTCCAGCCCGGTGCTGTTACTGCAGAGGAGGTTAGGGATTAAAACAGCTCTCCCACACATTTATATGACTCCATTAACACCTTTCTTTGTCTATGAAGGTTACGACAAGAACCTGCTTTGAGCTGTTTGCTGGTGCTGGAGACAGTATGCCCTCCGACATAAGAGACTCAAAATACTCTCTCACTTTTAGTTGATTTATACATCCTTTTAAAATGTGTTTTTCCTCAATAAATCCACATCTCCTCACCTCTGCTCTCCTCTGACTTCTGCCGGTTCTTTGAAAAGTGAACCGCAGAGTGAGTGTGAAGGGAGTCAATAGGCAGTCTGCTGTGGTGTACACATGTTTACTCAACTATTTTATTTGGTCAAAGGTAAAGGAACACGTATGTCTCTTTGAAAAGCAATGGCCCTTCAATGTATTTCATGGTGAAAGTAAATGCGTCCATGTATTGGAAAATGATTGAAAATTGTCCTATTACTTATCTCCTTAACCCAAGCTTAGACATCAACACAGCGTTCCAAACATCTCCATCTGCTTGTTACTCTCTCACCTCTTTGCTTTTGCTTCTGCTCACCTTGGATTTCTCTCTGTTGGTCTCGCTAGTGTTGTGAAGGTCTTTGTGATAAGCAAAGACCCAAGCTCACATCTAGATCAAGGGAAGGCAACCAGTCGACTAAAATACATGAGCGCAAACCCTGTGCATTAAGCAGGAATGACATGTAGAATATTAGATACACCAAGTCCTCTGTGACTTCAACAATGAACTGAATTGCAATGCATCATGAATAATTAAGTTTTCCTGTTTCCATAACATTTTAAACCTTAAAGGAGCAGTATGAGAAAATCTGGCCAAAAGTGGTACTGCAACCTCTCGCATTCTCCCTGACTCAGTTTGGCAGATATGCAGACGAATCCAGCTGGGACCATAATATCTGAATAGACAGGAGTTTTACCAACAACAAATCTATAACTAACACTTTATTCACAAAGGCCGTGATAGAAATCCTCTTTCTATTTCTTGTTTTGTTATTAATGATTTAAGAATCATAACGAGACCTTATTAGTGCTGCGGCCACATTTTTCTTTACCAGTGAGATTAGCTCGCGGTGAGTTCTGGCAACCCGGATCAAAGACCTTCTGATTGGTAAAACAGTAGAGAGCAGGACATCAAAATGAAAACAATAACAATATTTTGGGGCTGTAAAACTAACTTTGAAATTCCGATATCTCGGCTGAACTACTGTTATCAGTTTAAGAAGTATTTGAGAAGAACATGGTTTATTAATGCCTTATTATTCTAGGGTCATTTAATGATGACTTGGCATAGAAATCTTGCAAATTGATACCTGATAATTTATAAACCAAAGACTGTTTAGACCAGATGTGGGTAGTTCTCAATTTCTTGCGTGATATTTTAAAAAGACCTTATGTGTTTTTGGTGTTTTTGCACAGCTGCTCCAATTGTTCTTGTTTTCTTTGAGTAACTAGTGTTCTTTTATATGGTCTATTCTTTGCACCCACTTTAGTTTGCACATTATTTAATTCTATCAATTACATCAACTTCCAATGAAGAATCAAATCAACAAAAGTACATTACCTTCTGTATATTATTACCCACTTCTGTTCTCTGCATTTGCAATTCCTCAACACCTACAGCCATACTCCATCGTGTGTGTCTCGCCTCCCAGCTAAACACATGTCCTTGCACAATACATGTGGATGTCTGTCATGTGTAATTCATTGTGATAATGCTACATGAATGGCGCTCTCTCATTTTGACTGTGCGTGTCCTGTTGTGTGCCTGTGCGTATGGCTGTGTGTCTGCGTGTTTTGCAGGAGCCGTGATTCAAGACTCGGACGCCATGGAGCCGGAGAAACAGGTGGACAGCACGGTGAAGATGGCAGGGGTCATTGCCGGGATCCTCATGTTCATCATCATCCTGCTCGGACTGCTGCTCGCCTTCAAACGCAGGTATCTCCACACAACTCACACCTCATGGTACTCTGTCCTGGTGCGAAGGTGCTGTATGTGGTATTCAAGCACACAAGTTCAACTCTACTTACTACAGTATATAGTTTGAAATACAGATTTATACTGCATGATACTCTATGTATTTCAACAACAATTATATTGAAATTGCATCCATGTCTTAAGCATTATTAGACAGGACAGTATACAGTGCAGCATGACATCGGTGTGAGAGGAGGGAGGCAAACCCCTCAAGCACCCAGTGTAGCACAGAACAAAAGTTGATATTTATAATACATTGTTATTTTCTTTATTATCATGCAATTGTAATGATTTATTAAAACATGGTGTTCACTCATCAGCCATGTCTGCACTAATGCTACCTTGAATCGTTCATTACATACAGCACCTTTAAGCATATTATTACTATTAGTAAAACTAAAATGTTGACAGATAAAAGTGAATGTGTCCTCGCAAAAAGAATAGCAAATAAATAATTACTTTTTGAAAGCGTTGGTGTAAATCTATTAGAAAGGATAGTATACTAATATTCACTTTCAAAGGACATAAATGTTTAACCCTCAAACTTCAATATTATCCTCTGCCTCCATCACTTGCTTTCTCTTTTCTTTCACTGCATCTGTCCTCTCACCAGGGTGTCTCCGTACTTCTGCTCACTATAATGTTTTTTTTTAATATGCGTAATACATAGTAACACAGCGGGGTTATTCCTGAAAGTGATGGAAGTAACTACACTGTACGGAGCAACAGGCGTTTGAACGAGTAGTGTACGAGTAGTGTACGAGTAGTGTATGAGTAGTGTACGAGCAGTGTACGAGGAGTGTATGAGTAGTGTACGAGTACTGCACGAATACTGTACGAGTACTGTACGAGTAGTGCATGAGTACTGTAAGAGTACTGTACGAGTAGTGCATGGGTAGTGTACGAGTAGTGTATGGGTAGTGTACGAGTAGTGTATGGGTAGTGTACGAGTAGTGTATGGGTAGTGTACGAGTAGTGTATGAGTACTGTACGAGTACTGTACGAGTAGTGCATAGGTACTGTACGAGTACTGTACGAGTAGTGTATGAGCACTGTACGAGTAGTGTATGAGCACTGTACGAGTAGTGTATGAGCACTGTACGAGTACTGTACGAGTTGTGCATGGGTAGTGTACGAGTAGTGTATGGGTAATGTACGAGTAGTGTACGAGTAGTGTATGAGTACTGTACAAGTACTGTACGAGTAGTGCATGATTACTGTACAAGTACTGTACGAGTAGTGTATGAGTAGTGTATGAGTAGTGTACGAGTAGTGTACGAGTAGTGTATGGGTAGTGTATGAGTACTGTACGAATACTGTACAAGTAGTGCATGAGTACTGTACGAGTACTGTACGAGTAGTGTAGGAGTAGTGTACGAGTAGTGTACGAGGAGTGTATGAGTAGTGTACGAGTACTGCACGAAACGAATGCACATTGACTTCTGTGTATGAGCCAGAGAAGGTGCGAGACAAGGTGTGTGTGTGTGTGTGTGTGTGTGTGTGTGTGTCTGTGTGAGTGTGCTGGGCATAGGTTTGCGTAAAGCCGGTGTAACGCCGAGATACACTGTCTTGAAGAGATGCACAGCCTCAGCTGTTTATGATGTAATGCAAACCTGCGCATGCGCGTCTCACGGCAGCCGAAGCATACCAAGATGGCGGACCGTGAATTGCTTTAAAAGTTGAAATACGAACGAATTAAGACACGAATGTCACTTTTAATGCAATTTGAGCCTAGATGTTGATGGTCCCGTTTTGTCACATGTGGGTTTTAAGAGTCAAAGTTTCGTGCAAAGTTTAGTTTAAGCAGTCAACTGCGCCTGTGAAACCACAAAGCTAATGTTTTCATAGCAGTCCGCGGCTGCTGACGTAGGCTGATGACGCGTCCTGTGGCAACTCTACAGTTTACAACTGGTCTGTCGGGTTGATAATGGAAAATGGGGAAAAAAAACAATCTAATTAAATATTTTGTTTGAACACCCTATTGTTAATCATATTAAATACAGTACGATACATGTATTGAATGAAATTTATTATTTCCATTATCAACCCGACAGACCAGTTGTAAACTGTAGAGTTGCCACAGGACGAGTCATCAGCCTACGTCAGCAGCCGCGGACTGCTATGAAAACATTAGCTTTGGGGTTTCACAGGCACAGTTGACTGCTTAAACTAAACTTTGCACAAAACTTTGACTCTTAAAACCCACATGTGACAAAACGGGACCATCAACATCTAGGCTCAAATTGCATTAAAAGTGACACTCGTGTCTTAATTCGTTCGTATTTCAACTTTTAAAGCTATTCACGGTCCGCCATCTTGGTATGCTTCGGCTGCCGTGAGACGCGCATGCGCAGGTTTGCATTACATCATAAACAGCTGAGGCAGTGCATCTCTTCAAGACAGTGTATCTCGGCGTTACACCGGCGTCTACTACACGTGCACACTCCATGTGCACACTCCAACAACATAATATCGAAACATTAGCAAACCGTTAACGTTAGCATAGCCTGAATTTTACCTTTAATGAAAACTGTTGTTGCCTGTGCGCACCACGGTGAGTTTTCCATTTCAGTAAATCATGTTCACAGCACACTATTGTGGTTGTGCCCAACAAAACACCTCACTATTAGACGCAGACTGCTGCAGCTGCTTTTCTACCACATTCTCATGGTTAAGATAAAATACAGAATGAGAAGAGGGGAACCAAACGAATGTTAGAAATATAAAGCGGCGGTTAACCCTGAAGGTCAAGTGGATTATGCTAATCAAATGCCAACCAGACTAACGGGCATAATGTGTAGGCTACAGCAGAGGCCAAGGGCATCAGGAGAACTACTGAGAGAAATGAAAGCAGAGGAATGTGAGGATTCAGTTCAAGTACGCACCTCGGGCGAGCAGGAGCAAAGGCCACGGATCCAAGTCACTCACTATTCTAGTAGGAGACAGAGGGAGGAAGCATTGTTTGAATGCAAAAATAAACTTTTACTCTTTTAGATGGACTGATCTATTATGTTGTATAGTTAAAAATCCATAACAAATACATATTGTATTTGAACTAGGTGAATGTTATGTTCTAAATATGTGTTCAAGGTTTTGGTTATTTTCATCAACAAGAAAATATCCAGCATTCTATTGGAGTTGTTTTTTCAACAATAATGTCAAAAGAAAATGCTACATTTTCACCATTAGATAATCTATACACTGCCCATCGCTTATACTATTATTTTAAATATGAAAGATATGAAATATGTATGGGCCATTAAGTTTCATGAATGATTTCACAGTAAAACATGGCGGGCAAACACAAAACTACATATTTGACCTTCAGTAGGAAAGTGTTTGAGAGTGGTCCTCTGTGATGTCTAAATGAATGATTCCAGACAGTCCTAATGTGTGTTTCATGTATCACAGTCTGGAGATGGACTCTCTTTAATAACAGCCTAAGACCAGCGTGCTGAATAATTTACATCACTTAAGCTTTCTAAACGGAGAGTCGCACTTTTCTCAGTTCAGCCGAAAAGAAAAACACAGCTTTTAACTCTGTTTTATTAGATTATATTGAATTTGAATCACTTTAAGGCCAGCTTTCATTGTAATCTTGCTGTAGTTTTCATGAAAAAGTTTAGCTAAAAACTTGGTCAAAGTAAACAGAAAAACACACATAATTCTTCTTAAGAATAAATCCAAAATGTATAATTGTCTATCATGAAATGTGAAATTCATGTTCTCCATAGCATCTAGTCTCCATTGTCTCCAGACATTTATTGCATAAATTGCGCCTGGGACATGGATTCCTAAACTACCAAAACAAAGTTGAATCTGTCTTACTCATCGGCTTTTTGGGTGTGTCTATGCAGTGTCTATGCACAAACGTCACATCCATGAGGGCTATAGACTATTGTAAATGCTGCTTTTCAGAACACCATTTTCTTTCTATGTGTGGTTCTGTTTAGCTTTTGCACCTCTGGCAGCAGCAGATAGCTCGCTCGCTCATATTTCACCACCACACAGACTGAGTGACCATAATTGCCTTATCTCTTCACCGGCTGTCTACGGTCCCAGTTGTCTGGACTTGGCAAGATGCTTTGACATGTGTTAAACAGAAGAATCAATTGTCCAATATAGTGACCATAATGTTATCTGAATGTGACCAGTAGAGGGCCATGCAATTATTGCACTTGCCTGTACTGCCCAAAAAATGTCAAAAGATTTATAATTGGAAGGGCACCATTATGTTTACTTGCATATAGTACTCACGCCCAAGTATGTACACCCAAAAAAAGTGAGATCACTGTCTAGCAACTATGTTATCTCTATTTGTGTAATATTAAAATAGGATGTGGTTGTGTGACATCACAACATTCCAAAGAGCCTATAGTTTAATGTTGTGGTGGAGGACAGCTGTAAAGCTCTCGGGGCTTTTATATTAACTGTGGCCCAGTCCACATTACACATTCACATCACGACGTTCCACATTTATGGTCTATTTAGCTAACGAGATAGATAGATACAGTAGATATACATCCATATAAACACCTAAATACATCAATTATAAACATTTATAACTAACATTTCTCACTGAATCCCTAACAATAGTGCATATGTTTAACTCATACATGTCTGTTATACAGCCTGACAGCCAAAGGAACAAAGGATCTTTTAAAACGTGATCTTTTGATACGATTACTCCTCTGAGCGGCCATAGTGTCATACAGAGGATGTCATGCAGAGGGTGTCCTGCAGAGGCTGTCTGGAGTTACCTGCGTGACAATTTATGGTGAAAATATAAATAAAAATACACACATGCATGATATTGGCCAGTAGAAAGACGTTTTAGACATAAGAATGGATTTTTGTGAATCTAAACACTAGCGAATAATCATCTTGGAAAACAAAAATGTCTTTAAAAAATGGTGTGCTTTTCCATAAAGTTGTATTGTCAACTGCTTCAAACTGAAATG